CACTCATTAGCAACCATACAGTTAGTGGGAACCATTCAAAGCGTCCTGTGGTACAGTAGCTTTGATCGTTTAGCCTTCCGAGATTGGTAACGACGTTTATTAGACTAACGTTTCGGCGAAAATCGCCTTCTTCGGAGTCCTGTAAAGTCGGAAGCACATTATCGAGACACTTCACCCAAAAACCAAAATCACTTACAAAGGAAATCAAGGGTAGGAAATCTAGGAACGAAATCGTAACAGACCTAAAACCAACCTCTTACTGATGTAGAACTCTACCGGGCACTCTGAGCCTAGAGATTGAGCGGCGCTTTTATATGAGTTTTCAGCTCAGAGTTTCACGGGTCAAAGGGCTTTAGGGACCATATGCCATTGTGAACAATGTGTAAAGGCCTAAAGGAAAGAATTTTGAAATTGGGCAGAACAGGCCAACCGCCATAAGGGATAAAGGGCCAGAAAGGGGACACACATAATTGTGAGGACCGGGTCACCGCCGAGAAATAGAAATGGGCCAATTTGAAAAAATTACTGCAATGGTAGGGACGAACAGCTATAAGGCCCCCCTGGATTGATCAAGTAGATCAAATCCCTAGGATTTGATCTACTTGATCAATCCAGGGGGCCTTATAGCTGTTCGTCCCTACCATTGCAGTAATTTTTTCAAATTGGCCCATTTCTATTTCTCGGCGGTGACCCGGTCCTCACAATTATGTGTGTCCCCTTCTGGCCCTTTATCCCTGATGGCGGTTGGCCTGTTCTGCCCAATTTCAAAATTCTTTCCTTTAGGCCTTTACACATTGTTCACAATGGCATATGGTCCCTAAAGCCCTTTGACCCGTGAAACTCTGAGCTGAAAACTCATATAAAGCGCCTCAATCTCTAGGCTCAGAGTGCCCGGTAGAGTTCTACATCAGTAAGAGGTTGGTTTTAGGTCTGTTACGATTTCGTTCCTAGATTTCCTACCCTTGATTTCCTTTGTAAGTGATTTTGGTTTTTGGGTGAAGTGTCTCGATAATGTGCTTCCGACTTTACAGGACTCCGAAGAAGGCGATTTTCGCCGAAACGTTAGTCTAATAAACGTCGTTACCAATCTCGGAAGGCTAAACGATCAAGCTACTGTACTATATACTACATATATGCCGAGATTAATTGAAAGCCGTTCATGGAATATTTTGAATAACATAATAAAAGTCAAGAGTACCAGCTTTTTTCAGATGAAACGTATTGCTGGCGACATAGGAGTAGACTTCGATAAGACTAACGCGCCTCCTGATATCTTAGCAGTGGTTGACTTCACGGAGAAACTCCACCAAATACCAGTGCCAGATCTCAAGGATCTACTTGAGGACAACGATTATTTCAATTCATCGGATTTCCAAAACTTGAGCGTTGTGGAAAGAACTGCCTACAAGGTAAAGGTAGCCGACTTTCACACAAAAGAATCACCACAGGGCGATACAGAGTTCTATCCTGCTGTTTTGTGAAGTTGAGGAAAGAAATTGAAGCTCTTCCCTAGTTGTAGCGCTTCTAGAGGTCGCCCACAAAACCTGCTCGCAAATAATGCAATAGGGGGAAACCACCAGAGACGAAACCATTCCACCCTCCTCCCGCCCCACCTCGTGCACGGAGGTCTGGTAATTGTTCCAGGGAAAGGAAAGCATTGGTTGGTCTTTAAGGTGGGAGGGGAGATCGAGCAATGTCCCACTCTTACCTCTGTTCAGCCAGAGTCCATCCTTAGCGAGCACATCCTGCCACCGCTGTACCTTGTCCTGGACTTCTTCTCTGCTATCCGCTATAAGGATAATGTTGGCAGCATGGAAGATAATTTTTAGCGGTACCACATGAGTTCCCTTGCAATATTACCTAGAGTAAGGACGAAAAGCAACGGGCTCAGCGTGCTCCCACCATATGTGTACCTCCTTGCCAGGCCGTGCGGGGTACGTACAGCCGCCTTAGCCCTGCCGTACATGTCCTTCACTACAGGCTAAATGTTATGGAACATTTTCGTTCTCTGAGCCCTCTCCAGAAGTACAGACCGAGGCAGGCGGTCGAACGCCTTCTGCAGGTCTAGGAACGCTAGGTAGCAGGGTCGCCGCTTCTCTCGACACCTATGCATCACCTGTCTAGGCATTCGGGCATGAAGCCGAACTGGTTGTGAGATGAGTACAAGCTCCCTTAGCCCTCTGTTGACTAGTCGTTCGTACAGCTTCATGCCATGGGGAATCAACTTGATGCTGCTGTACTGGAGCACTCCGTCGCGTCTTGTTTCTGTTCAAATGGGAACAATTGTGCGCTCCTCCACGCATCGTGCATCTTCCGTCGCCATACATGATTTGGAAGGAGAAGCCAGCCGACCCCATGCTTCACCACGGGCCTTCCAGCCTCTATCATTATCCCATCCTTTACCCAGCCTTCCCAACCTCTTTCTTCTATAACTCTCGCGCGACTTATCCTCTAACCAGAAGTGATGGAATTTCCTGCCCTATTCATTACCCGAAAGTCTTGAGTAGCGGCGATGCCCGGCTTCAGTCAGCTGGAAGACGAATTTGTCCCCTATCCGCCCCTCCCTCCAGATTCTCCTTCAAGTCGTCCACTTTCGTATCGTTAGCCTTGGCAACGGCTGCCTTGACGAGTCGCTCGCAGCCCTTGCAGGCAGCGAGATCTTCTGGGCTCCTTGTTTTACCGCTTTTTTTTCTTCTCCGATCCCCTAGACTTCCTCCTTCCAAAACCACGCTGCCTTGCCTCCTCAAGTCACCGCACGTCGCGTCTTTCCTAAGACTTCACTGCACAAACTTAAGAATGACTTCTAGTTTTTTGATTTCAGGTCTCCTCGACCCATTCTGTTTTCTGTAGCGCCCACCTACCAGTATTCTTGACAGAGGCTATCTTTTTCCACACTGTGTATTTTCCACCACCGGATTCCTGGCTCAATTCTTGCCCGTATCCTCTTGTGAAGGTCTATGGCGATTCCTGCCAGTAGCGTCCTGTGCTGGAGAGCCAGTTCTTCGCATTGCAGCACCTTGATCTCTTCAACAGTCTCAAGCGATGATCTTTTGACGAGCACGTGGTCGATTTCTGTTGTTCTCCTCCACTGCTGTTAGGGTTATTCATCTGTGTCCTTCGCTGCCAATTGTTGCGTGTGCGACGGGCCCGGAGTCGAGGATCCGTTCGTCACCTCTGCCGTTCCTTGCCCTAATTTTATTGCGCCCCATTGCGCTGTATCTAGACCGCTTCTTCCACTACCTACATGGCCATTCAGGTCACGTTATTGTGCTGAGTCGATCCTATGGTCCTATGGTCTCAGCATCCCTCTTTGGTGTCTATTTTCACAGCCATAATTCGATCACTGATTCTGCTCGCGGAGGAAACGTCGTCCTTGAAGGATTCTGCTACCGCTATGGCCACACCATTCCGTTCATTGTCTCCTCCATTGTAGAGTGTTGACCCTCCCCAATACCTGATAACCTTCGCTGCCTTCCGTTTCCGCGTTCGTTGAGTTCTAGTGACGTCCTAGCATCACATTTACACTTTTTCGTATTTCACTAATTATTATTATGACGGGATTCTCCATCCATCGCGATTCTCCTTTTCAACCTGGACCTGACCCTGGTATCGCCAAGGCATAGTTTTTTGCCTCGGAGGATCGAACTCGCGCTGAGGCGGACATTAGCTTATTAACCAGTCGGCCGTTAATAAACCTGCCTCCATAATCGGGTGTGCGACGCAAAATTAATTACCGAAAGCATTACAATAAAGGCTCGGTTGGATTTATGCATAGTACAGCATGCAGCGAAAAGAACTGACTGGGCAAACCGGACAACTAAGTGACAGTTCATAAGGGGCAAGGGTGCATGGTGGTACTGCGACTATGAAATGAAATGAAAAAGGAGTAGCTCACTTCTGCGGGCGGAGCTTGACGATCTTGACAAATGTGTGGGGACTTCGTCACAGACTTTGGATTCGTGGGAATGGTTCAGCCTAAGTGATTGCGGACCGGCTACCTTGTGCAGAAAAATCCTACATGATTGAGACAATTCGCAACTTTGCATTCAAGAAAAGGGAAGTGTGTGAAGGCGTTACCTTGAAATTCTATAGTTTATACTC